TCGTTCTCTAAAAAGATGTTAGTATTTTCCCTTGCTCCCATGAGTTCTAAGAGTGAATGGAAAATTACGTCGGAAATGCCCAACGTCTGTTAGCTGGTTCGAATTCTTGAATCATCTTAATGTACGACTCCAGAGACGTGAAGCGGCTTTGTTGGGGGTTTATTGAAAGGCCGTGCGTATTTATATAGCGTTCTTTTAGCGTTACAAGAGGAGTGGGTACTTCGACAAGCTCTAGGGGCAGACACTCAAGCTGAGGCCGGGGAATTGAGGTGAGCCGTGGTGAAATATACGCGACTCGGAGTTCGAAAAAGGCTCCAGCACTTGTGCCAAACTTTCGTACGATGTCGTCTTTGGATGGTAACGGCAGGTATTTGTATAAAGATGGTGGAACTGGATTCATGTCTGTGTGAATAGGATACTCGCTATTGGTGTCAGTTGGGTTTATCTGCGGCAAGGAATAGGGGAAGGCGACAAAGGGAATTTACCTGATAATAAAGCAGCAACACCAGAGTGCAACGATATCCGCGAAATGATCGTCAAGGCTAGAATTTTTCCACTGAACCCTACTGAAGTATCAGTCTTTGGGTCCTCATATCGGATGCGATTTCAGGACTACCCAGAAGAGGATCCTAAAGCAAATGCCTTGGTGATGTGTTCATTCGCAAATCCATGAAATCCGCGACGCTTCCAGTACAGTGCCAAGAGTGCATGGGTTTGTATAGTTCGCCTATAGCGAAGACCGAATTGGAGCTCTTGAATATCCTGGCTATGAATTGGATTCATAGTATCCGCTAAATCTATGATTACCAACATTGATAGTCGATCGTTGTCGGAGCCCTGGCCAGCAAGATATTTCTGTCGCATGGCCAATACTTCATCCGGTGTAAAGATGGGCCATTCAGGAAGGATGTTTCCCAGATACATATCTATTCGACTGCAGGAGAATTTTTGATACGTTTGCTGATATGACTGCCCGAATACATATCCATCCGGCTGTGGTGTCACTCCGGCTGGGCATGTTGGGTCCGAATCGCCAATAAAGAGTGTGCTGTCTTTGTCAGACATTTTTGAAAGAGCAAAAGACAAATTAAATCAACTAAGATGTACGTTGAATGGGCAAAAAAAAAACGGATAGTTGGATTTGAACGTGCGGGAACTTGTAATTATTTATATTTCGGGAAAGTTCTCATTGCGACCAACATGTGCTCTCTTCAGTTCGTTCCTGCACTCAACGAGCGCCAATTTAATATTGCGTTGTTGCCACCGTCTTACCCGCATTTGCATGACTTCGTATGTGGAAATTAAACGCATGTATAGAGACAAAAGATATGCATGCAAAGAAGCACACAAAAGACGATCAAATCAAACTGTTATAAAGTGCGACATGTACGACTTGATATGTATATTTTACCTGACAATAGGTTCACACCAGTGGTAGTCCTGAATTAGTCTTGAGTACATTCTTGCGAGGCGGGTATTCCTACTCTGCAGGGCAAGTTGGCTTCAGATGAACTTATGCTGGACGGAATATGCGGTATTGAGGAGTACAAAAAGCTAGAAGAATAGCACATACAAGCACCGTGACATATAGCAGTTACCTATTCTAACTAGCTGTCTGTGTCGACGCCGCTAATCTACACCTCCCTCCATTCCCATACAGCTTGACCAAATTAGTGATGCACAAAAACGGGTTCTGCGACTCCTCGGGTGTTCGAAGGCTCGTTTCTCAAGTGTTTCTTTTGCGGACCGCGATCGGCTCGTCGTTCCCTTTTATTTCCCTCGTGAAGAGTCCCCAGCACGACTGCCTAATCAAGCCGGTTTCGAGGTCTCGGAAATGTCATGATATGTCGATTAGTTGTCGTCATTACTCTCATTACTCTTAGCCGAAAACTGCTTAGTGTTCTGGTCCCAGTGTAGTCTTCTTTTCCTCATTGCCATGCTATAACCCAGCCATAGGATTCTTTCGCAACGTTTACTAACCGTTGACGCAGGCTCAAAGTACTTTTCTTCATCATCAATCGCCGTATTATCAAACCAGTTCTTCGGGAAATAGGTTCCAGTATAGATTAAACCACGCATAGCATAGTCTTCGGGAAGAGGATGCGCCTTACCAACTTCGGGCCACGGAATTTCCGGAGTATCTAACCGTGGCGTATACTCGCTGGTCCGTAACAGATGGTTAAGTAGTAAAGCAGTCTGTTCCCATGGGAGGGAGCCCTCTAAGTACTGTCTCCCTACGTCAAAATCCATCATAAACCAGTAGAATACTAGGAGGGTATGAAGGCAGGGAAACGTGTTCTTGTCACCCCACCGAGCAATAACAATCTCATACGTGCGAGCTGTAAATCTCACCGCCGTTTTGAATGCGTCAGTCAGCACCGGATCCGGAAGCATTATAATGTCGTCTGTTTGTTGACTCTTCAAAACGGCATTCATAAGGACATTTGACGCGTCTCCAAAACTTAGGAGCAGACAGCTTAATGAGATGCCAATGAAATACCTAGCCTAGTTAGCTTGTTGCAGATCTTACGTTATTACAGTGACGTCTCTTACCCAGATTCAAGCCAACATCCATGTTCTCTTCCAATGCGACTATCTAGAAGATCCAGGAATTGCTTCATTGAGGGCTCGAGCTGATCCTCATGCGCGCCAGAGAAGAGTATGCCATGAACTCGCACAAAAGCTACATCAACTGGCTCCAGACGTTGAGAAGCGCCTGGATTTGCATTCAAGAGGGGATCAAATAGCGTCATGACGCTATCCCTAGCGCTGTATACCATGGCGCCACATTCGTGCAGGCAAGAAATGCTTAGATGCAAGCCTTCTGATTGCGGCGCTCGCCGATGGGTGCTGGGATGCCAATAGAAAGTCATGATGCTCTTGGAGAAGTGACCGATGAAGGGAAATTAATGTGTGATATTGCTCTTGGCTTAGATTAGTCCCCTTCTGTGTGCTGTCATACTCAATGCATTTGCTCTCGAGTAAAGCCAGTCCGGCATAAATACCTTGGACTTCCGCGGCAAGCTGGTGTGAAGATATGACTCGAGTATCCGGTTGCAGAAGCATTCCTGATCCCGATGCCGAATCAAAAGACTGGCCTCTGTGCTGACGAGATCCGCCAGGTCTCGCCGGATTTTTACTGCAGACGAAGTCCTCTTCTCTGTCAACTGGTCCAACGCGACGCCTGACCGGAGTCGACGGTGATAAGCTGCGTTGCTGAGCAGTTGAAGCGACGGATGAATACGTCCTACTAGCCAATGCTGTTAACACCACAGTTCAACATCCTTTTTAAGATCTCGGACTACCATTTACGAGTAATAGGCCAACTCACTGTGACTCGGTGCTATCGTCGCAACGGCGCGGGAAGCGCTCAAAGCCGCCTTCATGGCAGCTAGAGGTGGGTTCCACGGGACGAGTACGTTCTCCGAGTCCTTCATTGGTCACCAATGACTGTGACAGTGGTTTCGTATCCCATGGAGCCGAGTCCATAGTCTAAGGGGTATACGTGTGGCGGTTAGGGGTGGGTATGATTCCGAGATACTCTCGTGTGACGCTTGTGAATCTCGGGTTTATCGCACAACAGGACTACACCTGATACGCTCTCCAGGGTGAGTTGTTGTGTTGAAGTTTTTTTAAGAGTAATAATGGAACGGGACACTGAGAGGACTCCAGGTTCGAACAAATGTGGCTCTTTACGGCAGTTCTTATGCTCGCGCAATCGACACTCAGCCTCTGATGAAAGTGGTTCGCACCGAGAAATTGCAGCCTCTTGGCCGCCTTGCGGATATCTTAGCCAGTAGGAATCGTGATATGAGAGCCATCTCGTGGGGTTGCTCGGGTTGGGTTGTCTTGCAGTGACAGGAAAAGCAGATGGCGCCGTGTTAGGGCATTCCTGGGCGACGAAGCCAGGAAAAGGGCAACCTTCTTCGGTGGGAATCTGAGCTGCCTCACGCCCCGGAACTTCTTGTTGGCCTCTGCAGTATGGTAATTGTGACTTGTCCTTTGCATGGTTGTGCTCTTCGGCGTGCGTAATTCAAGGAAGGGCTGGCAAAGCATCACTCATAGATGCAACCTAACCTTGTCCCGGCCAGTGAAATGCAATTCAACAGTCTCAGCCTTCTACACCGCGGATATTGTGCCGTCCATCCGTCTTTATTCTTAACTGCAGTTGATATCCCGTGCTTTTGCAGCTGGATCCGGACCACCCCCCTCAACGCAATGGCGGTTAGTCTCTTACAGCGTCGATCCTTCCGAACGGCAAATTTGCTCTTAGTTTCAGTAAGCATGCTACATCAGGGGAGCTCATACTCCCTGCCCTGGTATTGCTTCTTCGTATGCAGGGCGAAGTATGAGTGCGTGAAAAGTATGGTGTCAACACGAAAGCTCTTCTCGTCTACCGCTGGTCAAATACATTGGAAAATGGCCAAACACGAGGCCTACCGAACCCTCTTATAGCAAGATCGCTTCAGTAGCAAGAGAGTTCAAAGTCCATACGAGTCCAACTGGGAAAATCTGTATATTATACTGCAACCATATCATAATGTGAACCTGCCTTTTCAACCATCAAGGCGAAGTGAAGCCCTGAAACGGCGGCATGCTTCAACAACCAATATGTTATAGTAAGCAAATGATCATGACTGTATAGCTGAGCAGCATTTTATTTCTCCTGATCTTTGATGGAACCACTCCAAGCCACTAGACCACTCCAAGATGATCAATGCTATACTCGGCAGTAATATCAGAATCTTTGAGTTTGGTTATAGACGCTTTGCTGTTCTTCTCCTTTTTGATAGTGGGTTATGCTCTGGAACTTCGTCGGGCGGTGATTCGTATCTATCGTAGATTCTCTTCAGTTTCCCATTGCTGCATTCGCTACTTCCTTCACTGCCGCCAACATGACCCCCTTCACCAAACTTTTGCCCGATAGAACCGCATTCTTCACATGCAGTGCTGTCAAGTCTCCTGGTGATGATACTGTACTTGCTCAATGGCCACTCCGCCGTATTAGAAAACCTGGTGTGTTCCCCATCCGGAAGACATTCAGTTACTAAAAGGCTATTGGAGTATGCAATGCTTCCGTCTTTGGATTTTTCGATATTGCCATTGACTTCATCCTCGGCTGCATCTGCACGGGCAGCATTATCGGAGGGCTGGTCGCCTTCGTTGATATCTTCTTCAATAACTCTTGGACTGTTCGGAACGGTAGCCTCATCACTATTGCCGTCACTCTCAGAAGATATTTCAATTATTTCATGAGCCAGGTAAAAGGACTGGCAAGAAGTAGGGTCCAAATTGCGACTTTGGGCATCGACCTTGCGTTGACAAACACCCTCGTAAGGGTTTTTTTCGGGTGTGTTCGGCGGGGCTGTCAGGCTGGTCTCGGTTTCCATTTCGATACTTGTAGAAGTGCCTGCTTGTTTATGAACACCAGCTCATGAAAGTGGTCGTAGCTGGTATGAAGATATCCTCGTTTCATGGAGGTGAAATGTTGAGGTTGAGGTATTTATAGGCCATTATAAGAAAGTCTTCGACCTTTTAAAATGTCACCATTGAATGCTCAAGGCGGTTAGAGCAAACCATCCTAGGATTTGGATTGCGCTGCTCCTGAATGCACCGGATGTGAAAGGGGCCGGACCCATATCGTACGATTGAATGTTCACTAAGCTAACTTGGAATTGCACCACAGGCAACAATGTAAGCCGCAGATCCTAGAGATATAGTCTAGCCGAAACTAGATTGCAGAGACCGGGGGTGAAGAGTGAGAAGACATGGCAACGTATCAAATTGAATGGGAGGTTTTGTAATAGCTTAGGACAAAGCGCGTTCGCGGAGACCTCAAGGCTGTCAAAATTTCCGGGTTGATCCCCCCCCCCCCCCGAGACGAAAAATCTATGTGGGAAACCCTCTGCAGATCGCCTGAACAGTAGGCAAGGTTCAGGTTCATGAGCAATATTTTAGTAGGACCTATGTTTTATACTACGGCCGTATCATCACTTGAGACACATACCTCTTTGAGGATGAGCATCTGAAATGGTGCCCTTTTCTTCAGCCACCAAGATTGTGGAAGATTCTGAAATAATTGCCGTTTCATTTTCCACTGAATATCAGTCGCGCATTTGACTATGGACAAACTTCCATAGAATTTGGCCTGACCTTTAAGCGACCATTCCGAGTCACTAGACCGCTCTGCAATGACCAATAGCTTGATATCTGTCAGCGACACACCAAGCTTTCCTATAACCCCTCCTTTTTTCGGCCTCCAGACGAAGTGTAACTTAATATTATATAGCATTGGTATTGCGAGTTTGACACGCTGCTTTTGCCGTTCCGATTGTGTGGTTGGTTGAGGCAGCTGACACTGCCTCGATTGTTGGACTGTTCGCCATATTTGACTCGATAGTGTAATAATTGTCCACAAAAACACTAAAGTATGAATATGTCGCCAAGTAAGACCGAAGACTTCCTGGAATGGTTCGTATATGCTAGCGGCAACATTGAATGCGTATTGACTTTGTAGGGGCTCATTTCGGATGGCCATTACTACCTCCTGTTCTTGACTCGAGTGTTGCTTTATTGTTTCTGTATATATTAAGATTAAAAATTCTGCAAACTCTTTCAGCTTGTCGTTTTCTATGCTCTGGGGGACCATACTGACAGCGTCTTGCAAGCAAAGATGGGAGTTGATAGGCATTGTATACAGTATGTAGTTTCAATTTTATGGCTTTGGGGTAGCGACAAAAGTTAATCACTCATTAACTTTCCTCAAAAGATAGTGGCCACACATGTAGTCATAAAGCTCAAACGTGGGATCAGTTTGCCCCTGCGCATTACCTTCCGCGAATGTTGGTTCGTTGCCTCAGGTCAGATGGCGATAATGCTAAGAGGTCAAGTTATGGGGAGAGACTGCGACGACAAACGAGTCTTTTTATATCATCGCTTAGTTAATTTCTACCCCTCATCATCATATATGTATCCCGTCGATCTGTGTCTTATTTACTGTCGAAACTTTGCGTGATCCTAGAGTCACAAGGGCTGTTGTTTGGTTTTGCTGATCTTTGACAATCCGATGTATTTGACAAGAAGAGGTATGAGAACCATATCATGCTGTTTAATTGTCCACAAGATATTCTAGAATCGTATTACAGGACCAAATATGACACAAACCGGACCTGTCCCCTGGCTGTTCTTTCTGTACGCTTTTGTGATTGTATCTGCGGTGAGCTCTAAAAGTTTGTTATCAACTTGAATCGTCATCAATTCGCTTGTGCCATGCTCGATGATCTACCTGAGCAGTCTTGTGAATCACTTTCGTGGTTATACACGTGTTGACGAAGAAAGCTCTCGATAACTGCAATTGTTTCGTTGGAATTTTCTTCCCATTCATTCCTGCTATCATCACATCCCATTCTGAGGATGAACCTTAACCTCCTTAAGGCTGGCAGCCAAGGAGTGAGACTTGTACTCAGAGTACAACTTTCGAAGCCTCTTTTTAGAGCAACCGCGAAAAGTGTCTTGATGCCTTAAGTCAACAAGCTGCTTGATATTCATGTCTACAGGCATGTTAATTATTCATTGCACGGTTACGTCGTAATTGATTGTAGCGATTCGACACAAGAGCCCGGTGGCGGCGCATTTTTGGGGCAATATCTCTGAAGGAACAATGTTCTTCCTCTTTTAGTCGAATAAGCAGACGATCCTCATCAGCAGTGAGCTGACAATTTCTTAATGTCCATAAACGAGTCTTTAAAGAACTGTCAGGGCGTTTGGGAAAGCGGTCTCGGATTTCACGCCACGGGATGCCTTCGTTCGAAAGTTCAAGTAAAGTGTCATCATCCTGTTGCGTGTACCGAAAGCGTCCCGTGGAAGCTGGGGAAGAATCTCGCGAACCAGCCTCGGGAGTATCCGTTGCGGGTTCGGAAAGACTGGGCGAAGGTCGTGTGCACGCCTCAGTAGTATAGGATGGCGAACGGCGTATTTGATCCACCGTACAACCAACGATGCGTCGTAATTGGGTATCGATGGCGATTTTCTGGTCGTCGTTGAGGCATTCTAAAGACCAGATAACAGCTAACGGTTGTAGCCCTACCAGCGGCTTCTCTTCCCAGAGGCTCCTATTATCTTCTATCCACTTGTTGATGGCGCATCTGCTCGAATCCCGCCCAGGCTGTAATTGAACGTCGAGTTCCGCAAACGAGGACTGCGCTTCTTCGGCCCTGCAGAGTTGCTGTTCGTTGACCTTGGCACTGTGAAGAATAATTTCCGTCAGAGCAGAACAGGCGCCATCATACTCTTCAGAGGTTTGATAATTGGGGACCTTGTAAGTCCAGGTCGCGCATCTCATAATGATTGAGTTCAGGAGGATTCGTGCACATGTCAGCATATTCAGAAGCATCAGCAGCCAGGGGTCCGTGTTGTCAGAGCTAATGCCCTGTGTACTCTTTGACAACTCCTCCCACCTGGCTTTGCAAGCTCGATCATGAGCTTGACACCGCTTAAGCATGACTTCGACTTCGACTTCCTCTTTATGTCCGGACGGACCAAGAAGGACCGTAGCCTTTGCGCTAAGCGAAGCCACTCCAACGCAAAGCTTTTGGGTCGAAGTGCATTCATCGTCTCCGGACCACCAGAGCTCTTTCTCCTTTTCGTCTTCTAGTGTTGCGAGACTATATATTACCTGTTGCAAGTTAGCTATTAGAGAGTCTACATCACGATGTAAACTTGAAGATCAACCCGATAAAACCGTGGACTTGAGAAGTTTATGGAAATCTTACCATTAAAGTGCGGGTTGCCCTGAATAGCATTTGTCCAATTCGGGTGTCAATCTGCTTCCGACCGCGTCCTCGGGCTAACTCAATAGCACCCTGTACGTGATTGCGCCAGCTTTCTTGCTCCCCAGTCGTAGGATTTAAGCATTCGAACAGCGCTAGAAGTAAAACTGCAGCCAAGGTTGCATCCTCACAAACGACACCTGGATCTTGAAGTGCGCTATGCATCGCCATCAGCGCTTTATTGTATGTCTCAATAGTCAAGCTTTTGTATTCAAGCTGACCGCCGGTCTCATTGATGAACGACGCCATAGCGCAAGCTTCAAATGCCAGTCGGTAATGCTCCCATTCCTTGTCGCTCTTCGATAGGATAACAAAACCCATATCGCCGATTTTGTTCTGTCTAGGCGATTCAAGATCATAATGATACAAAAAGTAAGCGATTGCCCTTTCTTACAGGGGCATCTGTGGAAGGTCTAAGGAGCGCAGCTGCAAGGATCCTGCCTTCGGTGTCGAATATGAGGCAACTTTCTCATCCTGTGATATAGCATTCAGGGGTTCATCCTTTGCGAATTTTCTGCCGGAAGATTCCGAATATCCGTATCGAGTAACAATCCTTTCTTCGGGTGGGGTACATTTTCTCCCAGACTTGATGCACTGCTGACAGGGCCTCGAATTTTCACACTACATAGACTTCTTGTTAGACCTTCGGTTATTACGAGGTTAGTTGATCTCCAAGCAGTGCATTTACCTTGACTCGGAACTTTCTGCAACCCGTACAGGCCTTCCAAACCCGGCGAGATGACGCAAGCGCCTTATCTGGTGATGAAATGACGTCCTGTGTTGTGGTTGGCCTGGGCGAGGTCACTCTTGTGGTTTTCTGCCCTTTCTTTCTTGCGTACTCCACAACAGTCTTGTGGCAAAAAGTGATATCGGTTTTGGGTCTGGTACAGAGCCTGCGAGCCTTCGCCCCGTCGCACTACATATACTCCATGTTAGACTTTCAGCTGTTGTAAGGTTTAGTCAATCCCCCGACTGTGAATAATGGATATACTTTGATTCTGCGCTTTCTGCCACTGAAGACCATGGTAGTAACGAATGCGGCCTGCAGGTCTTAAATGTTGATTGTGGTGGTGTTTTAATGTAATATGACCAGGGTATGGGATTCCCGATGGACACTGGTATGAGCTCTTCCTGAATAAAGTCTGAAGAACTGAGTTAGAACCGCCACGGAAGGAAGGACTGTCATACTTATACATCCTACGGAACAATGGATCAGCCTCCACGTGAACAATGTACGCAGCCTAACGTGTGTCGAAAAACAACACGAACACCTGAGTCTAGGGAAATGAGGCTGCCAAAACTGTATTCCCCGGTTCAGGGGCACTTCAGTGGTGTAACAACAAAAGATCTTCCTTGCCGAGGGCTAGCCGGTATCCAGCAGGGTTGCACCTACGAAGACAGCCGCATGGTGGTGTAGAACATTCAGAGCTACTTTCCAGCGCCGAAGTTTGCAGAATTATTAGTGTATTCCAGGTTCTTATAGAAGCGTTCAAAGTGGTCAGTGAGGTTTTTTGACGTCCATTAAATGCACTACAAAGAGACATCTAAGTACAATTGAAATGAGTGGTCTATGATTTATGTCAACGTACGTCGGTTTTTATTCTGTCAATACAGAGTGGTTCAAGCTTCCATGAGGCAATAGCAAACGAGCAGTAGTTATATCAATATGCTTGTCATGCAGAAGCATCACCCCCTGTCAGACAATTGAGGGTCACAAAAGAACGAGTATAATGGCGCCGAAGGCGCCAATTGTATTAAATGAGAATTATCTAAGGAGCAAGAACTCCATCAAGGGTTTCAACGGAACCGTGCAACTCTTTATACACAAAAGAAATCTTTGATAGTTCAGGCGGTAGCAGCTACCTGCCAGGCAGCCACTGCAGTGTCCCAGTTTTTCAGGAGGTAGGATTTGGGTAGGCTTGATATGCGACACCCTCTTCTAAACATCTTTTGGTACCAGCTCGATCTCAGAATCACTTGACGTATTTTTTGTTTTTGGCCTATTCCAAAGTAAAACTCCATCCGTCGTATCTTCACCAGCCATTTGCCGCCTGTTGGTGTATCTCTCCTCACTCCTGCACTGGCGATATCTCCTAAATCCCGTGATAAGGTTCACAATTCCGATGACTGTGAACATTCCGTTTTGAACCTACCCTGTCAGCGTATGCAGGTTGATGATGGAAGAACATCTCACCAGTTTATAGTTTATGCGTGATGCTAAGACATCGTAAAATGAGATCAAAGAAAACCCAAAGGTGGCGATCTCGAAGCAACTTCGAATGTCCAGAGAAAGCCAAAGCTTCCAGTTCTGGGATTTTGCCTCTATACCTCGTCTAACTCCTTCGAGGCGCACAATGAAACATGACAGCATCATAGATCCTCGAAAAGCAGCTATAGCTGACGTCGGCAAAAGTCGTGACGATGATCTAAATTGAAAGTCTGCCGATAGCAACCCGATCCCAGTAAGTGATAGACCTAGTAAAAGTCCCTTCATCATGACCCCTTGGGCTTTGGTTCTCCCAAAAGCCGTCACTATCAGACCAGCCAATACGATACTCTGGATTAGGTTCAGTCTTTTGCCCATTTCCTAGTCAATGTATACTCACCTCTAATAGCATACTCCAGAGCAGCATCACTGATAACTCGCAATCCGCCCAATATTCCACCGAATGCTCCCCTAGTTCACACCATGTCGCCACCATCAAGACAGCACCCACCACTAAACCAGCAATAACGGAAAAATACAACGTACATAAATTTGTCCAGTACCAGAAACTAGATTTATATGAGCGTCCAGATAATAGGCTTCTTAATATTGCTGCTGTGCTAAGAATCGAGAGCTGTAAAATGGAACAGATTGTCAGCCCGATTTGCTGTGTTAAAGACAAGGCTGGAGTTTTGTGTGACTGCATGATATCAAAGGTGGAAGAGAAGTATGAATAAAAATGCATCCAGCTCCCCGCCATTCCTGCAGCGACAGCCTCATTTTAAGTAGTTGACTCAAAGGTCTTCAACAATGAGTTGTCCTCTGATGCTAGGGCCGGATATGAGGCCCATTCCCGTATATTTCCCTGCTCAACCCCTTCTCACCCCTTTCGTTATACCATTTCGGACTCGGTCAACTTCCTGACTTGGGAGAGGTCTCAATAATGCGTGTATCAGCTGGAGGAGATGATGATGACAAGGGGCCCTTGCGCCGGTATGAAAAGGAGCCGTAATGTGATTGTTGTGGACTACAACAGCAGGAACTTGTCTGTGGCTGTGACACCTCTAGGTCATTTTGCGTGCAATCTCTATTACAAAATTCATAAAACGATTTATCCACGCATCATCGTTATATTTTCCGGCAATATTGTTCCAGGTCCAATGACGGAGATCAATCCGTGACGGCTGGAGATCTCTCAAAAAAATTTTAACTTCTTGCTCAAAGTTAAATCGGGCCGAGTCCGCATAGTAGCGTTCCGTAGACATCCTGATCGCAGCTTCAACGGCAAAGGAATCAAGGTCGTCGCCGCTTGCCACGAAGGCGCGGGCAGCCCAACCCAGAACGAGCGTAGATCCTTTAATTGCCAGACCATTGTGTAGAACATCTTCACAAGTGGAGCATGGTCCGAATTCGAATCTCAATAGGACGTTTTGTGTACAGCTGACTTCTTCGTTGCATCGGCATGCCTCGGTATCATAAATAGTGCAGCAGTGAAGGCAAATACTATGCTCTGTCTTATGCATTGGCGGTATTTTTATTGGTCTTTGGGAAGACTTTGGAGGGGAAAAAAAGAATGAAAGATATTTTGATGGGCAGCAGGTCAGGTTTGGAGGAAACGGGAAAGGCCCCAGACGAAAAGTCAAAGAGATTTTATAGCCAGGTAACGCAGGGAGAAAAAAACCAACCGCCCCTACGCGACAATATACGTGATGGCCTCACGCACAGCTCTGTGCTATAATATTTGGTGGAGTGCCCAAATTGATGCATAGAGGCGAAAAATTCGTTGAGGATTGTTTCACTTTGAAATGGGCATCATGAGATACGGCCTGGCATCTGTGGACGCCCGCGATTAACAGTCTACGAGCGGGTGAATTGAAGGAGGCGGTGGATGAATACAGAGATTTTGTTATAGCATACTGTTTGCTACACCATATTTGGCCTCTCCTCCACTGTTTTGGAACTATAACGAAGAGTCCTGCCGTTTTTGACACCAGTAGCAATCGGACACTCGCCTACCAAGCAGCCACCCTGCCGTTGGACTTCCCCATTGCCTTTGCAGTTATCGATTCCCAATCTGTCGCATCCATGGTAGCCATAGGAGCTGGGTTTGAAGCACCGCAGCTAAGAACTAGCACAAATTCCGTGTTTAGTCGCGGATTTATCGTCTGCTCCGGAATGGCCGCCAGCTCACCGCCATTGCTGCAGGGACAGCCTCATTATAAGGTCTTCTGTAGACGACCATTTGATTGTTCTCGGTGGCCAGGGTCGAAGATGAGGTCTCATCCAACGAGCATGTGGGCTATCGCTGGAAGGCCCAAACCCGACCCTCTTGACTACCATCGAACTGGTTAGTTCTCTGCCTCGATAGGAGAGTCTCACTGGTATTGCGTGACGGCCAAATCAGACGGCTGTAATGACCAGCAATCCTTACTAGTGCGTCGGGGAATCGGTACTGCATCTATCATTGGCTCCAAATTGAACGATGCAAGCCTTGCTAGTACATGCAGTTGTGTTGGACTGCGGTCGTTCAACACCAAGCAACCAAGAAGGGGCGTGCACAATGTTTTACAGAATCGTTTGTGTAAAACATTCTGCACCCCCCTCTCCCTCCCCCTAATGGTGGCCGACCGCCATGCGACCAAGACAATCCCCTGCTCTTCTGTACATTTCATGTTAGCTGGGTTCATGAACAAGGCCGATCAAAGGAACGCACATCGGGGCAATGGAAAAACCCGTCATTACACATTTCTTCAGTGTAGGCTCGCCGTCCGCTCCCAAAATGCTCTATTCATTTTCACTCTCATATCCTTTGTCCAAAGATCAGAATGAGTGGTCTCGACCTCCTTGCGAGGTACCTTCGAGATGGGTTGTTCGATGATGCCGACTTTGCGAACTCTTTCGTTCAAGACCAGGAATCTGACAGCAACTGGGCGTTGCGTCGGTCTTATAGCGCCCAGGGACACACCATCAGAGAGCATTTCAACATTCAATTATTTGACCAGGACGATATTCCACTCGTAAAATGCAGCCTCAAGCTGTTCATACAAAGCCCTGATGCTCCTCAGGATGATACAAGGGAGAAAATCTTCAAGCCACGGAGTTGGTTTGGTCCTGACTTGTACGTCTTGCTTCAATAACCAAGACAGTTGATTAATTTTGAAATAGAGATATCGAAGTGATTGAACAGCAGGTTGACTCACAACATCGGCCAACGACAACAACCCTTCTACCGGCCTCAACATCGACAAATTCAGTGTCACAAGGTTTAACCGAAGAATCTGTATTGCCATCTACTATACCAGGACCCGAGCCTGCCCCAAAAACCCTGACCGGGAAAGTGGCCATCAAAAAGGACCGCAGTCTGGAGCATCGCATGCTCACGACAGCCAAGGCTTTCGTCAGAGGCATACAGATTCTTGTCAGTAAGCCTCAAGGAAATCAAGCCAAAAGATTAAGGACCATCCGAAAATGCTTTGACACGTCTGCAAGAAATGAGCACCCTATCGAAACTGGCCAGCTCATGCGTCTGTGGATGCGATTGAAGAGTGACAAAACGCCAATAGACCAAATATGCGCCAGAACGACTTCTAAAACTAAGGACTTGGAGCTGAGCGTGGCTTCTATAAAAAATGTGGGAAACTATATAGCGGGTATAACGGAACTTGAGAACGCGCGGAAGGCCAGAGACAACGGATCCAAATATCTTTGTGGTCGTGCCCTTGACCGAATCTTAGAAGCGATTTCAAGATTGGTTGAATACTATGGGAGTGTGGCGATTACTGTATTCACCTTCCTAGAAGGTAGGCTTTCTTACCAACACGACAAGACACCACGTTGCTAATTTTCAAAGTTGGAGGCTTTGGCGTAGCGCGGCTTGGGAATACTGCCATTAAAGGCGCGGATAACGAAAGGTATTTTTACGATGGACTTGTCGCCCTGATTGATTTGTCATTGAGGAGGTTCGTTGCTACAGCCAGAGAAACTGAAGCAGATGCCATTTCAGATGCCATTCCAGTGTTAAACCCAGTAGCCTTTCACTGGTGGTATGAAGGAGAAAAGGGCCGTTATGAGGATCTGTGCCAGAGCTTAAAGCTTCCTGCTTTCGCAAACGCCACTACAAACATCTACACTGAGAGACTTCCTAGCACGATACTCGACGAGTTTAGTGCACAATCGCAACAAGCCAGAAGTCATGACGGTAGTCATGATAACAACAACAATGTTGACTATGCTAATAGCGAGTCTGGGAGCAATTCGCCAGACAAGTCGACGGATTTTATCCTGCACAATGCCCAGAGGCTTGCGAAGTACATGTCTTGCAACAAGGAAACGTACCTACAGAGCTTCGAGGGGGATAAGGAGAAGCATGGTATGGCAAAGCTCGCCTCAAGGATATTAAATGGAACATCATCGCAAGAAGAGCTCTTGACGGCTCCGACAGACGTGGTGTACATGATAGTGGAAATGTTGCTACTAGACAGCCGGTCAAAGCAAGGGGTCAAGAGAAAGCGAGCCTCTGGAAATGAACAGGACAAGAGATCTGATGGCTCAAGCTTTCATCATGACTCGCGGCAGCCAGTGTCGCCAGTTGATCTGCTTGACCAGAACACCAGCGGCCAGGCTGCACCGCTGACCGGGGGAATGGATATTTCTCAAGGGCTCCCGCCCCTTGATCCGCAATTTCCTCCTGGTTTTTTCGGTATGCCAAGCCAGTTCAAATATATTCTGATGCATCCCAATCTGGACCGCAATTGTGGTCGACTAACTTTTAGACAGATATCGATTTCGAAGGCATGGATACGAATGATCGTCTTCCGCAATTCGACTCGCAACTTTCTCTCGATTGGGCGAACCTCATGGCTATGGATTCCTTTGGAGCGCAAGGTTCCTCCAGTGGTGGCGTCTTCCTGCAAGTCTAGTTTACCATAAATTTGAAGATCTTTGAATTCAATTGCGGCTATCCTAAACGTTTCGCACCGACCGTACCATTAGATAATATGGTACTCTAAGACGGAATTTTGTATCTGGAAATATAACCAGCTTGTCCTTTTTACTAGCTTCGACAAATTTGTTCTCTGAAAAAGGCTCCCCTATTGCTGCCAACCAAATCGGCACCTTATCATGCGTGATTGGAGTGATTATGGCAATAGAGCCGGAGCGCGCCTCATGATATTCACCATTTCCATCCCCAGTACGCACGACTCTTGCAGCCTTTTCCATGGGACAGACTGCAAGCCCTCGTTTGGCAATAACATCGTTAATAGATGCATCCTATTGTTTTTCTACTTTAGCATAGTTCTGTTATCCAACGGCGTGTGTGCCTACCTTTTTCAACAGTATGCTGGTGTAAATCATGATTGGGAGCGTCTCGTCGTAAATCCATAACTGTCGACCCCGCTCATCTACGGTCTTTGTGGAGTGGACGACTAGACTCTTAACAATATTGTCTTGAAGGCCGTCCGGCGTGTCGAGCTCAAGGAGTTGGTAACGATTGTCTTCAGCCATCGTGTTTGTTTCGTTGCAAATTTCACGAGAAGTTTGTTGAGCATCCAGTCTTTATATATACGTGTCGATGGGCTGCGGTAACTAGCGACTGTCCAAAGCGAAAACAGTCTTGATCCCGTCATCACGCATGCAGACTCGCGTGACTTAAAAAACTGGGTCCGCTGTCCAATCAATCACAGGAGTCGCCCAAAATATACAACAACACGAAGTGCCCGAGCATGCATGACGAGAAATGCCGATAGTTGGAATTCTGTTCCTGTATTATTCGTACGTAGAATTGAATGAGTGACCTGTACCAGTAGCCAAAATTCCCAAGCTCTATATTCCATAAATCATGGCCCAACAAGCAACGCGTTTGCGTTGCCGTAATCTTACCCTGAAAACGGTGGTAGGCCAGTGTTGATATCCATACCAGAGTCTTCATCTACATCATCATAATCCGTCACATCTGTTTCGGTCTTGTCGTCGGTAGCAGAGAGGGGGGAGGTAGGACTTTTCGATGTTGTGGATTTGTGTTCGTGAAGACTATCATCGCGGCTCTCTTCCTGATTTACACCTTCATCTCGCGAGCCTTGGGAGGTTGAAGCTAGAAATATGAAATTAATGATTTCGTCTGGTTTCACTGACCTGAGACATTACCTGGAATATCAGTGCTGCGTTGATTTACTGCCAAACAAGATCAGCGTCAGTTAGGGGAGGGGAATTGACTCATATTCACCGTTTCCTGCGCAGTGTGAAATGTGGTTTTGTTCTACCATTGGAAGGGATCCGGGCGTATGCCTGTGCTCTGGATTGCCAGATCGGGGCCCTGAAGAATCCCTATTACTTGTCAGCAACGTATAATACGCTGAGGAGCATAGATCATTACCCAGCTGATGGTGCTAATCCTCTGTCTACATTTTGATCATAAATACGGGTTGACGGGTTAATGCCGACGTACACTTCTTCGCCTTTCTCTGTCTGAGGTATGGTATGTTCAGCCATTTGTGAAATAGTTATAGAGAATGATTACAAGTGAATGTAGACTGGTATGAATCTGTGCCTTAAATTTTCACCGCTCCAGCAGATACAGTCGGACGTTATATACGAAATTCTCTTATCTCTTGCCTCACGAATTCTCCGTACATCAGCTTTGGGATGGCAGATGGCTCCTCTGGGCTAGTTTTCATGCATGAATTGATCAGCAAGCTCCTTTTCTGATGCAAACCAACAATTTTTCTGCAAGCCACATCACCATTAGAGTAGCATTCATGTAAATTACCGTATAAAACAATAGAATTTGATAGATGACATGCGGAGAATAGGCGTTCCGGTAGGCGAGTGTCACTCGAATGTGTGATTTGAGACCTGTAATGATGGCCCTGCCCCGTTATGGTTGGCCGACTTTGGTCGATTTTGGTCGAAATCAGCCGAAATCGGCAAAATTCGGTCCTTTGTTACTCCGAAAGGGCAGTTTCAGCTTTGACTATTTATGACCATTCGCGACCGATTCCGACTCTTCTCGACTCTTTTCGACCTTCACCCCACGATCGAATGTTTCATTGTCAACGATGCCGCAAAAGAAGCTAACGTCAGTCATCGACATAGTGGACAAGCTCGTTGATGTTTCCATCGCTATAAAGAATCGCGGGAAGTTAAAGGACCCCGAGGAGGCCAGAGTAGGCGACGCCTTCGCACTGTTGGCAGCGGGCCGGCCACCACCTGGATGCCCTGGAGAGGCAAACAAATCGCGGTACCTAGAATTTTTGCTGCGAGTCAAACAATTTATGGGGCCGGCAGGAGTCGTTATTTCTGCAGCAGGGCTCGGTGTATCAGCCGTAGCTGGCATGAGGGACCGCCTGCGTGTCGATCTGCCAGTCAAAATGAAAGAACGGGAGAGAGAGTTTGCCAAGACAGAGCTTGAGACCATAGCCTGCATTTTCTCAGCCAAAAGTGAGTCTTTCTAGTTCTCCCATGTCATCGTTGTGCTGACTTACTAGATCATCAGCCAAGCCAGATGGCTGCAGGTGCCTCACAACGTGGAGAACCTGCCTCCTTGTCTAGCACTTCGACAGTTCGTCGTATTGAAGCTGCTGCAACTGCAGCCTCACAATTTACTGGAGATGCTTATGAACTTGGATGGGAAGATGTCCGGGAGATCGTAAATTCAGGGCAAGAAGTAGGACGGGTTTATCTAATAGATACATATGCCGAAGCAGTTCATTCTTTTGTCATTATCCCTATTTCTCCGGAGTTGACAAATCACTTTGCAATGCAACGAGCAAAAATATAGAAAGTTATCAGTTCTCTTCCTGATGCATAATATACCCCACGTTCAATGAACCTGAGACTCTGAACCACCAGTTAATATCCCAGGGCACCCCGACCATATACCCAGCATCTTCGGTGCCAACGGTACCGAGATGTTTGTCGGCTGTGCTATCGAACACGCGGATCGCGCCCTTGTTTTCGGGTACATCGATAACAATTAAGAAAGTATTCGCGGGAGGCTGTATTCGTGTACCCTTTGGGAGATCATGTCTCCAGGTAATGCTGCACTCGCCGCATTGTAACTAGGAACGTCTTATTAATTTCGCTTTCGCAGAATATATGAAGACTTCCTTACCTGTTCCCTGCAATGTTGCTTTAGATCATCGTCGGTCATCCGTGGCCATTTGATCTTGGTTATCTTCGACATGCTTCACGTATCATAAGATTGTCAGCATGGTTTTCGGGAAATGGAAAGAATTCTTCGCTGTTGACGTTAGTTTCAATACCAAAACGCACACACGGTCATCAACTCCCAGGCAGGCCATAACTGTACTCTGTAAAGGCGCGTTGAATTAAATCTCTGATGCGCGCCAACTGTAGGATCAGACCTTCGCCCCATGTTCATAAATGGACGCAATTCAGTGTCATCGGTGGTTTGCAGTCGCGGATCAGATAGAGCGAAATAGAAGAGCGGGGTCCTCAGGCACTAAATTTGATGGTTGCAAGCGTCGGCGGTCGAGCAGAGCTTCGCTGCTAGAAGTACCGAGTGCCGCTACTTGATCATCGAAGAGGCATTAAGGTAAAAATGCGCCGTGTCAAAAAGTGCAGGATGCGGTATATTCCTTGTCATGTGCCTTTAGGTCGCAATATGTTGGGAATCAACTCCATGCCTAAGTCACGTGAAGATAACACGCCGCCTCCACCTCGGGCAATCTATACGAAGTCCAGCGTAGCGCTACATCCTCGACAATCGGCGACAATGCTGCAAGACAACCCGGAGAGACTATGCATCCCTACATGTGTTGGGTAGTTACAACTACTTTGTTACATGCTGTCCCCCTTTCTGATGAGGACACTATTCTACGACATCTTGCGTGACGGCTTTTGTTCCGTAGCGGGGTAATGTTGTTAGCTGATCCTGCTCTTACCTGCACAAATCGCGAAGCGAGTTCTTGTAATCCCATGAGTAAGGCAGCAGTCAATGTGACGAGCTGTAAGGTCGAACAAGATAGGAGAATATTTGTCATTTGCAAGAAGTACTACAAGGACTACATCATACGCAACGTTTCTACCGAGTCCGTTCGCAACCTGGGACACACGTTGCAGGTCACAGGGATGATGGTAAATAAGCCCGAAGCAGAGGCAATTGGCAAGGTTCTTGCATGAGTAGCAGATCCAAATCTACATTGTCATGCCATTAGTTATTTGAAAATAATGCCATAAAAACCCGTGATACACCAGCTACCTACTGCTTCTTCCGTGGCGACCGTGATCGCGACTTATTCCGTTTAGCCACAGACCAGTCACCTATATCCAAGGACAGTTCATCAGCAGATGTGTCAGAGTCATAGGAGCGTGATTTGTGTGAATGTGAATGAGGTCTTAAAACCGTTTCCTGGCTAGTGGTAATAGTGTCCTCGCCAGACCCTTCATCCGCTAAATCAAGGCCTAAACCGCTGGCCGTGAACGACGCCACTCGTTTTGCCCTTTCATTTGCTTGCTGAATGGCATTATCTCTCTGTTCTTTTGCCCAGTCCCTGGCGTTGCGGAATGCAGAAGCGCCTTGGCGAAATGTATCAGCATCGCCAGTAAGGCCCCACGTTTTGATCTGTGTCGTTACGAAACCAGGCTTTCCTTCTGGTGTACGTGGCGGTATCGGATGGCTGGTATACATCTTAAGCGTGCCTCCATGATATATTGATGAGATTGTATATGCCTTGTTATCATACTCGGGCTCCGGCTGGCCATACGACTGCAAACTGAGCATACCCCTTGCTCCGAGGGCGCCATTATAACACGACTGTCGGGAAGCAACTGACAGAGTTCCATCAGGGCCTTTGGCCTCGAGGAAAAAATTTGCCAGGATTGGAAGATCGCTCTGAGGCGAGGGGTTGATCTTACGGCTTTGCTCTCTGCGAACTCTGATATCGAGCTGTTCGGGCCGTGCGCCGTGGTACAGGTCAGGCTTGCCTGAAACGATCGTGCCGTCGGTCAAGTCGTCTAGGTTTGTAAATGGAACGTCTCCGGCAACACACTTGCTATCTGCGATTGTTCCTTCGATCAAAGGTATGACGTTTGTTGTAATTTCACGCTCTTTAAACGCATGGGTGTCTGCTCTTTTAAACCTTCTGAAATCATCATTGGAGAATCGAGGTGGGGATAAAGACGGTCGAGGCTGGGCCATCGCGTGCAGTATATCGTTCATGTTCTCAGGCTCTGGTGGCAACGCGCCATCTGGATATTCATAACCATCTGGGAATATATTGTGATCGATGAGATTTTGCTGAAATGCACGATCATATGGACCAGTGCTTCTCGTACTCGTAGTATTAGGAGTCGCGTTGGTCTTTGACGAGGATTGGCTGGTTCTCTTCACGGGCGACTGCGAACCTCTCTTTCGACGCCCGAGGCTCGATTGACTGGAGCTCATATTGCCGCCCAAGTCTATTGGGAATTGACACTAGATTACTATTAGCATCAAATTGCATATAATATCGAGCTGTACTAACGCCTCTTATCGCGGAAAGATCTGGGCCGCCTTGTCTTGCAAAGCGCTGAAGGGTTGACGGCTGTCGAGGCGTATGAAGTGTTTGTATGCGACTAGGAGGATGACTGCTTAGCTGATTTCGCCGATCCAGTTCCCTTATTGCGTTACGAGTAAGGGGAATCGTCGATAGACCGTCCCAGAATTTGGGAGGTGGGAAGTATGAATGGCCGCGTTTCTGCTTCTTCAAAGGGCGGGTGGACTGGCGGTCCTCGGTAATTTCGTCTGGAGATGAAGCGACGCCGCGTTTCTGCCCTTTTGTGTCTCGGCGCTGCTGGCTTCGTAACGTTGGCATCATTGAACGCTCACCGCGTGAGCTTGAAGACGGAGGAACTCTCCTTTTTATGCAGTTGCAAGGTCGAGTGGTTCCGGTGGTGATGTCGCTGCACCGCCTACTGATTGGCGGAGATCGCGCGGCGCTTGGTGAGACGCGTCCCACCATTGCAAGGGAAGCTCGCAGCCTGTAGAAAACACATCATGCTCGACCTTCGACACGACCAGCCGCTCTTAGCTTGCAAAAAGCCAAAATTAGATCAGTCTTCCGCCGTCGTAACGTGCACAATCGTGTCCCAGGTACGATGCGGTTCAGCGCCTACGGGTAACCTACCCACTCCTTGGCTTGTGGGGCCTCCTGGACTAACAGTGCGAGGAGCAAGCGACGGACTGATCATACACGATACGGAAGCATTGGCAGCCATCAAGGTCGGTCCTTAAGTCGCTATCATGTATTCTCTACTCTAGCTGTTCTTTGATGCCTGCCATATTGAGATCTTGTCCATCAACAAAATTCATTTCATCTAGCTGAACTCTCGGTTGAATTTCTATATCCATACAACTGGTATATATCTCCGATTCCCCTCCTGGCAAATGATCACTCGGAGAACTCGGCCAATCCCAGACCCAATAGAGGGTGTACCAACTGAAAGGAATACTGACAGGAAGCCGGATGTCATTTTGGCACCAAAGGTCGGCACCTTGTGGGTTCATTGCAGCTTTATGGAACTTGGCCTGTCGTTGCATGGAGAGTGGACCGGTATTAATCTGATAGCATTGTCCATCATCAAAATTTCTGACCGCAAGGAGTCTGCCTCGACCATCGCCGCCGGTGCCGTCCGTATTCCAAACATTATGGATGGAGGAAAGCAATTCATCGTCGCGAGGATATAACGTGCCGTATACGTATACGGTGCCACTATTCTTCTTTTGTGGCGTGAGTCCTGGCAAGGTGACATGGCCGTTCTCCTGGTATTGCAGAGCAATGAAGGCACCAGGGGCTGCTTGGAGTGCCGGAAGATCAGTAGTATAAGTCCTATTTCTCTGTGTATTCTTGCACAATTTGTCTGTAAGCAGACCGTCGGGAATTGTTGGCAAGAGATGTTGCATTTTAAAGTCGTTGAAATTCGGATCAAGCCTGGAAACAGCACCACGAATATAGCCTGGGTTTCCGATCATTGTGCCATTGGTGCCAATGACCATGAGTCTCTCCACCCACGAGTGTGAGCATACAAGACCAATGAGGGCGTGGAAAACGGCTATCTGACGGACGAGCATTTCTGAAGACGAATATTCTTTGCAGGTTGCAGTGGCGGTGGAAATTAGGCGCTACTCAAACAGGTCTTAAGTCCATCGGGATGTTAAAGTTAATGGCAACAACTCAGCACTACCTTCTAGCGCCGAGCAGAAGCTTGCGGCAGACGGCCAGCTTCTGCCGGCTTCTCTTTTGTCGTCAAACTATGTGTCTTATATTTAATGCTTTTGGCAGCTGGTGTTGGATAAGTCTCCTCGGCCTCCACCCAGTCAGAATGTCGTGTTCCTGCCAATTTTATGACTATCGCCCTCCAGGTGCGGTGCGAGTGCCTTGCAACGCAAGCTCTCTGCTCTGGGGTCTCCAGCGGTGCAATGCAGCGGCTCAGCCCAACAACTGTTACTTTGCTGGAAATGTTTGCTTAGTCGTGACCTGACGGTGCGTTTCCGGGTTTGAGTAGTACCTCACTAGCACTTCACCTCAAGACATCGCCTAGGAGAACAGAGCGCAGTAACATGTTGATGCTTCACTTTGGAGGTACTAATTTTAATATTTTGCTGTCTGACGGAGATTGGATGCGGGGTGACCGGGGCGCGACGGTGCTAGATTGGGAGCTTCGGCATATGATGGGCAGGATTAAATTGTACCCCCGGCGGCTGGACGACCAGCTGAGATTTAATATGAAAGGCTCCCGAACGATGCCCTCCCTATTAATATTGTTTCGGTTATGTTCGATCCCAGAAAGTGAAGCTCAGAAGGAAAGATACCGAAACAGTTTGAACTACTCTGCATAACGAACTGGTTCTATCCTTGCATCGTGTTATCTCGGAGAAGGACAAAAATCTACCTCCGAGGTTTGCCCATGTCCAACTGGTACTGCTTTTGGCCGCACTTGAAAGACGTGTCCGTCAAAAACGTCTGAACAAGCTAATCGTGACCAGAAGAGGCATGAGCCATAAGACGCAGGCAATCGACATGTTTATCATCTCCTGATACATAGCCTTGGATTCTAGAACTTCAAGAAACCATACTTGGCATCTCAAGCATGTTGGTGGAAAGTGGTATCATATCGTTGGGTCGTTGGTACTGCTGCTGTTGCTCTTTTCAAGGACAGCAGGGATTTCTGTGAGTTATGGAGACTGTTCATATCGCCAACTACTGAGCTCAATAGGAAGGACACACACAAGATGGATATTTCTATTTTTAGGGTTCTTGCCGCCGATGCCTGTAAGCATATACCGAAAACTTAGTGGGTGTTTGCATGGTACTGTCCCAAGTCACAGAAACTATGGTAGCGGCTGGAACATGCGACTGCCAATCGCATGGGGGAGGAGATAGAGAGATGCCTTTGCAATGAGACATTGAATTTTTGTTTATTTTCTGGCTCTTGACTGGTGATATCACTTCGACGTTCTAGTTTTCTCTTCATTATATTCCGAAAGCGTTATATTATGTCAATTGGGCTGCTAGGATCGACATGTGACAACATTGGGAATCGTGCATCGGGTGACAGTTCCAAGTAGATATGGCTGCACCTGGCTATGGTCGCACCTACTGGCTATGGTCGCACCTACTGGCTATGGTCGCCTACTGGCTATGGCCAGCCCTCTTACTGGCTATGGTCGCCTACTGGCTATGGTCGCACCTACTGGCTATGGTCGCACCTACTGGCTATGGTCGCCTACTGACTAAGGCCAGCCCTGTTGGCGAAAAGGCGTCTCTTAGGTGTGGGCAGAACGCTTCGCGATATCACTACACAAAGGGTATAGACATACGCGTGTTGAATTATTTTCTAGTTACAAAGGTATGGCTTTATTTCCTCCCCAATACGACTAGTGACTTTATAGTTAACTGGAGATCCAGACTCCAATATAGTCTCGGTGAATTTGGACAGTGTCGCACACGCATCCACTAGCTTTCTTGGTATGTGTTTGCGAGCTTCGGCAGCAAGTACTTTGAAAGTCGGGTTATCGACTTTGTGCAAATTCTTTCTATCTTTATGTTAGTAGTGGTCTTTAACAATGCTCATAACATAATTTTTTGAACCCATACACAAATATTTCTGCCGTTCTCGAGAATATAATCAAGAGCAAGGGTGACGACCCGGTCAGCTCACTAAATCGTTCAGCAGCTTGTTTGAGCCTCCAAACGTGGTTTCTTGAAGTTTTGGTATTCAAAACTCTATCTTTGGCTTGTAGAAACATGTCAATGGCCTGGCTGTCATCACGCCGACCAGATTTGGTCGAAATTAACCGGTCCTGTCGGGCCTCCCGGATGCGCCTTTCGAGTGTGTTGAGGAGGGCTAAGAGTTGGATGTACCCAAACCCAGAGGGGAGATTATCCCTTTTGCCTGCGATCACCTGATTCAAAGCCAATGCTCTCGACTCCATATCGATTTGAACAACAGGTATATGCGGAGGCACAGCTATTGTCCGCACCAATAACACCCATTCAATCAAGGTGGTTTCCCAAGTTTGTACAAAATAGTCGATCGAATTCCGTCTAACAAATTGATGACTGAACATGAGAGCCTCGGAGACAGACTTCCGCCTGACTCTCGATACATTTGTGCCGGCGCGGCTTTTGGTAAGCTCTGCCTTTGCCGGCGGCGGGCGAGGAGTAGGCCTAAGAGGCAGAAGTGATGAGCCGGTGGCGAAGGAATATCGATCATCTGTGATATTTTGCAATTAGTTGGATCCTAGAAGGAGCTTGCGTGCATGCTAAGAAGTTACGCATAGTGATATCCCCATCATTGTCAAATGATGTTGCAGGACGCGAGAGTTGGCCTGTTGGGTGGTGCATTTCTGGATTGAGTGTTTGTGCCCGGAAGAACATGGGGGGGTGGGAAATGGAACTGTCGCCTGTTCCCTGGTTTGCTACGTGACATGGAGTTTCGTCGTCGTGCAACGACAACAGTGCAAATGCCCTGGTCAGCTCCTCAATATCGAAATCTGTCATGATTCGTAATCCGAGTTAATGTGAAAAACTTGAATATTGCTACAGGTGCCACGTATCGATTTTTTATATTTTGGCCTCCGGACCAGAGCACATTAAATCTAGTGTCACTAACTCCTAGAATTAAGTCGCCACTAAGTTTAATGGTAGTAACCATTTTTAACGCATTAATCAGGATATTTCTCTATCTTTGTCCCAGAAAGAAACCTTAATCGAGGTGAGATAACCCTTTCTTCCATTTTAGCCCACCCGAAAAAAAAAATGGAAAAGAAGAGGTGAAAGGTCAAAGGTTGACATTGACTAGCAAACGTCGCGTCACCGATGCTGAGCGGACTCGAGGCAGGCGCCATGGCGTGAAAATTATGGGTGCTAGGCTACTGCGAAGTGGTACGGCCACCGCACCCGCAATTATGCTGTAACTATCGTTTTAGAGCTCGCCGTATTGCTTATCTTCTTAATTCATGACAACTTTTTCCGCGAAGCTTTTCGCACTTGTCAGATGCACTTGCGTCTCCCTGGGCTTACTGGCGTGACTTCAAGGGTCGACGAGATCATAGTGATTCCACGGCTTTGGAAGGTTGCGGGCCCTTTCAGACCAGTGCTTGTATTATCTTTAGTTGGACTAGCCGCCCAGAACGGCCAGCATCTTTGGCTTACGTCTAGCTGTATGATGATCACCAACTGCAGTTCATCGTACTTAACATAGGTCGAGTCACAAGAATGGTATCCATGCATCAACCCATGCTTTATCATGGCATTTCAAATGAGTCAACTGAAGTCTTTCTTCACAGCACGCCTGTGCAAAACTCGAGTCCAACGCCAGTATGAATCCCATCGGCCACAGTACCAGAAAATGGTCCTTGAGGCAGAGGGAGGCATAGCCTTGATCTACTTCATTCTTGCTGGATTTTTCTCCTGGCTTTTGCTGGCCGGTTTCCTTATTTCCCCATCTACGTACGCCTCGGTCCGTGATTTGGAAGTGCCTGCAGGGGTAGGAAAATCCATTTTCGACACCGTTCGCCATCTGCCACTCGCAATCATCGCGTCCGTAGCATGCGCTTTGGCGACAATCGGCATGCTTCTGCTTTGGTGGATATGGCGTCATAACTATGTTTGGATATGTCGCTGTCTTGTCGTGTGCGTGTTTCATTTGCATTTGTGACAAACTGGCCTTCTCTAACATCCCTCTAGCCCTACGTTCCTTCACTCTTTGACGGGATTTTTCTCAACCTTGGTGAATGTTTACTCTGTGCAAGACGGACAATGGTCAATCACGGCCTGTATTAGCGGTGTGGTGTCTGGGGTGTGGATGCTGCTATCTCTGTCTGTGTATGTTTTATATCAGGTTCTATTGCGAAACCTGGATTAGGAGGGCTATATTTGCGTGTGGTGGACATAGGATATTACTGTATTTTGGGAGAAAACGAATGTATAGGATAGGCCATGTGATTAAACACCTCAAAATACCCGTTAGTGATTTAGTTCAGTGACAATTGTTCTCGTCGTAATCCTTAGAGAAGCACCAACGTGTCATAGATAGGTTGGATTGACTTGTATTTTGAAGGCATCAATAATTGGGCACAAGCTCACAAGCCTGGCTGGCGTACTAATGATGTGCACATTCAACTACCTAGCTATAGCAGGACTCTACTGGCAGCAACGGCTCTGTGGCCTCCTCGGTGGACAAGGCAACTGGGCACGCTGCTTAAAATACCAGCAACCAGGCTGAGCGCCTTGTGTATTAGGGCAATGGGGCAGGCGAAATTACCACCAACTTAGGAGCAATGCTACCAGCAGCAGTAACACCAATACCACACACCTGGAAAATGCGTCATATTTACCGACAATCAGGCAGCGATCCAGGCAATGCGGAATCCCAAGAGCCCATCTGGACAATACATCCTTGCTGAAGCTATACAAGCATTTGACAAGCTCCGGGACCTAGGATGGGAGATACAATTCCGATGGATCCCAGCACATGTCGGAGTGCCTGGCAACGAGGCAGCCGATAAAGCAGCCAAGGAAGCTACTGGATACGATCCAAGCCAACAAACCTCGGTGGACCCTCCTCAAGAACCAAATTGGCTTCAAACTCTCACTGCCACCACGAAATCTATCATTCGCACAACGATGAAGGAGGAGTGGAAACAGTCATGGGTTAAGGCCAAGCATGGGAGAGAACTCTTCCGACTTGGAATCCGGCCAGGAAAGAAATCATTAAACACCCATACAGATAAACATAGAGCGATCAGCTCTGTGATCACACAGATGCGGACAGGCAAAATAGGCCTCCTGGCCTATCTCCACGGAATCAACAGAGCGGACACCGACAAATGCCCATGCGGATATGGGACCCAAACCGTACGACATATCCTCCTGGAATGCCGTGACTGGACAGAAGAAAGAGTCAAGATGTGGGCAGGCAAGCGACCATGCGTTGACATCAAGCGCATTCTCTGTAGCTCGTCAATGGCGGGACAAGCAGCTAAGATGATCCTCAGGACTGGCTTGCTCGGTCAATTCCAGGCAATGCCATCCACGGTACTCCAATATACGCAATCTGCGTAACGTAGACGAGTGATTATTGTTAAACAGAAGTCGAGGAGGGCCGGGAAGGGCCCGACATGTTCATAGATACAGAACAGCCATGATGACTATTCGTACCGAGGTGACCGCCTTCAAGCGGAAGGGAAAGCAGTTCGGACAAGGAACGGCTTAATTCTCAGAGGAGTGAAACGGACACTATTGTATGTTTAGTCGAACGCTGCATAGCTGCTTAAGCGGCTGGGACAGTCGATGAATTAATAAATAAATAAATAAATAAATAAACATTGGTGCCAGGGCTGCCAGTAACAGCTTGGGCCAGATGACCAGTAACCTTGGTGGCTCAGGTGCTGGTATGACGCCGCTACCAGCAGGCCAGTGGCGCAAGTTGCTAGTATTCTCTGCCTACCAGTATCCCGGACAGGCAGGTTGATGGTAACTGCGGTGTACCAGTAGCGAGTGTAGTAGGGCTGCTGGTAGTGGCCGGCTACTGCCAGTGCTTACGTGCAACGTGCTGGTAGCGGCCTGTAGACGCTCCTGAGCTACCGGCAGCTGTGTTGGCAAGCTACTAGCAACTAGTGGAGTCTGCAGTTCACCGTCCTTGAGGTACTGGTAATTTGGCGGCGTACGTGCCTGGCCCCACCGGAATTAACTGGTGTGGTTACCAGTCACTTCGAGATGCGCCACAGCGGTTACTGGCATCCTTCCATTGTGCATTGGTAGGTTACCAGTCACGACATTTAGGCAAGCTACCAGCATAAATGGCTACCTGTAACAGCCATGTGGCAATTGCTGGTAGCGCTTAAGTGCTGGTAACAAGGCCATAGCGACTACTGGTACCTCTCGACTACCAGCAGTAGCACGTCAGCGGTTACCAGCACACTAGGATACCACCAGTCAAAGCTGGTTGGTTACTGGCACCTATTGGGGGGAAAGTTGTAGGTGCTAGTAGCCCATGTCGCAAGTTAGTGGTAACCTTGGCCCCCCTAGATGTCCGATTAGCGGTTGGTGGTAGCTCTGGGCGCCTTGTTGCTGGTACCTGCAGTAGCTACATGATTGGGTCAAACGCACTAGGAACAATGAAGTAGTCGCTACCAGTATTTTAAGCACGCCTGCGATAAACCACGGCACTGCCCTGCAGCTGGGAGCTCATAACCATCAGTTGCTCTCTCACATTCGCCTCGGAATATATCAGCCACTACCATAAAATGTATCAAAGATCGTTCAATTAATGAAAGGACGCTTCAGAAACACTAAAGCATGCGCATTCAGACTATCGACTGACACCAATGCACTATAAGCTAACTAGCGAAACTGCCTAACGCGGCAGATATTACCTGATTACCTGGATACAACAAGGTAAGTATCGTGTGCTATTTCAATGAGAGGATTTGTGGCAGAAGTGCGTAACCACCGAACCGAAGTTTCAAAACTGAGGGCCATTTCTTTCGTTTGCTTCAATCCTTTCCATCAACTGCGGACTCAGAAACTCATCGGATACCCACGTATCCTCTTTAGACGGCCGACCATGCCAACGTAAAAGGTGTTGGCGTCTTCCAGCTCTCTGTCGGGCTTTCAAAACATCCACGCCCGCGTCAAAGCCTCGCCAACTTGCCTCAAAGCTATTCAGCATTCCCTGGTCTATGATGTGTTTTCTCGGCTCCCACGTCGTGGTGGCATCAGACCATTTCACCAGGAAAGTGTGTCGCCTCCACCGAGCAAGCAGGCAATCCACTCGGTAAACGTCGCGGCAGACACTTGGGTATTTCACCTTTCCGGCTTTAGGTCTCCGATCCTCGAGTTTGTTTGGTGTCTGGTGACCTTTTGGGGCTGGATCGTTCTGGGCAACCAGCGTATTCCACAAAATGTCACTGGTAAAGTGTAGCTGGAACATCGCAGTGCCATTCTCTCTGGTGCACCTTAGGACCGGCTGGCCAAGTGGCCATGCCTCGTGGCTGGCAACACCGGAACGAACAGGCCGTTTTTTGTTTGCAACAGACTCGTTGTCGTTGCTTTTTGTCGTGCTCCTCAGCAAGCGTGTCTCTCGATTTCGCGTTATGTCCGAACGTCGGTCCGAACGTTGCTGTGAATTACGCTTCTTGGGCTGACGGAACACAAGCCTGCGACGCTTGCGTTGTGGCATAAGCTTTTCGTTAATCCCGCCGTCCTGTTGTTCCGCGGTGAGTTGCCTTTTGGGCGGGAGAGTTCGAAGGTTGTAAGGTTTTCCGGAACCACGACGACTAGTTGGCCGCTTTTCCGTTTCTTCGCAGGGTTCATCCGGCTGGCTCTCTGTGCCGCCTGCATCGATGCTTGTCTGGCGCTCGTCGTCCCGTCCTTGGCCAGTTGGCGACGAGCTAGGGCAAGAACCCAGGGGCAAAATATCATCAGGGGCTTGGTGTTTCCGAATGGCCTCCATCACAGCTCCTCGATGCGAGACTGGGTGGCTGCATCCCGACGGAGGTGTTTTGACTGAGGCGGGTCGAGCTACACTGGGCAGTTCGTTGTCGCTTCGCGGAACTACTTCACCCATACGGCCATGGCCAATATTGATGCTATGAGCTTGGACGAACCGGTTTGAAAACAGGGCACTGCAATTCTGCGATTGAGAAGGCTGGACGAGGCTGGTCGCCGATCGGCTGGGAGGATCTGTTTTCTCATGGTGCAGTGCTTCATCCCTCGGAGGCAACGCAGTTGTGGACTGCACTGAACAACACTCGGAGGCCGCTGAGACGACACAAGGTCTTCGGATAGGAGTGGGCCACACCACGCTTGCTCCATCATCATGTTGTTGTATTGGCGGAGACACCAACATGTTAGAGTCGGCGGTGACCCCCGGACTCTCGAGAGCCATTGAGGGGGAAATCACCTCTCTCGAAGAGTTTGAGGTTAATGAATTGGGACTTTCCCACTCATCTGGTAAGCAAAGATCCTCAGATGAGCTCCCTAGGATCTTGTTAGGCATTGCCGGACATTGGAATTTGGTTTGCAATTGCTTACCGATTGCTTCTGTTGGATCATGTCTGACGTTAATCAGTGACGCCACAATCTCAGATATAGAAGGAAGCGAGTCGTCAGGATGTTGATTGTGTACCAAGTGCACGCGCGGGACATCTTGTTCCACCACCTCGACATCACTATCTGTGTCAGACTCGGAATCGGACGGGATCGATATCACATCTTCCAAAGTCCACGGACGACCAAGAAAGGAACAGACTCCCGCAGTTTGTGCCATCATGCCGGTATAGTGTAAAAGAGGGCTTCTAGAGAGTCTGCTAAGGTTGAAGCTATGGAGGTGAAAGCACACGAACTCGGTCAGTCCGTCCGTGTGACTAACATCGAGGTAAGGGGGCCCGACCTACCTCCCGGCAAACTTACAGGAATACAAGGTATGACCGCCAGCGCCACTTACAAGTCGAGGACGGCGAATTTGTGAGGGACGATGAAAAAAGTTCAAAAAATTTCATGCAGCATCGTAGGGGGGGGGCCTTTATATACCCGTTCGTACTCGACATCACGTACTTCGTAGCTCTGCCACCAAGGGCTCGTCATGCCTCCAAATCTCCGCTCATGCGGCCATGCGGCCTGTGAGATAAGTTTATGGTACTCCTCATTGGCAACATCATCCTCGCTTATGTTCCTTGCTTATCAGCCACACAGCGTGAATCTCGTGTCCCAGACCATGTTGTCGAGAGGAAATACTAGTATATATATTCAACTAAATGAGTGGATGCTAGAAGATTTCTAACAAAACAAAGTCATAGGAAATGAGATGTCACGATTCAATAGATAGTGCCCTTATACTGATGACGGACACCACAACTCTCCTTATACATTGTCCGTTTGGCCCGGATTCTCTGTCTCTATTTCCACTTTTACCCAACCAGACCCATCAGCACCCTCCGAGTCGGTCACGCTCGATGCCCTTACGGAATCATTAGGTTGGGGTTCCATTTCGACCCTGAAGCTGTGACTATCTTGAGTAGCATCGACTTCATCGAGAACTTGCGTGTCTGAAGTAGCATGTGTAAAAACATCCACAGAATACATTTGGAGTCCAGGAACACCGGTACTTGTTGCAAGTTCTCTAGCCTTATCGGGATCCTCGGGGTAACAGTCAGTCCAAGAAATCACCGATACATCCCGCAGCGCAAAGGAAGACTCCGGCCGTTCAGAGGCGCTAGGAATCTTGCGGGAGCAGGGGAAGTCGATGTCTGTGTCCCCAGTTGCTGCAGAATCTTTGATCTCTGAAAAAGGCAGTGTGCGGGATTCTGCCACCGTGGGGGTACCAACAGCACTCAACGAGACAGACCGCAAAGCTGTGCAATCCGTATCTTTGCGGGGTGGAGTTGGAGAAAGGCCAGAAACTTGGGCGAATGGTGCGCCAAGATGTTCATTATGGTATCGATTGCTGTTCTTTTCTGGCGTTTCTCCCGTGTCGCTGAAGTTAGTTTGAATCCATGGAGGAAGGCCAAATGTCACGTTTATGCCCCCGTAGCTCTCGGTTCGGTTGCCTAAGGCTGTTTTTGCTGTGTGGTATTCACGAACATTCTCCTCGAAAAGCGGGAGGCCGTAGCTTATGTCCATGCCCTCGTGAATTCCAAACTTCAGCAGATCTTCCTCAGTCCACATCTCAAGGAGAGAACTTGCGGGTACGTCCTTGCTAGTGTCCCAAATTCCCAATGGAGATGTGGACGTGTTAGAGTACGGCCCACTGCTCTGTCCAGGAATCAAGTCTCCCATATCGGGGTTGGCATCAGTATGGGGTTTATAGATCTGTGCACTGCCAATGTCGAGTTCATGAATAGTAGATGCCAACTCAGCAGGGGCTTCCTCGAAGTTTTCGGGCCTGGATATTTTGTGAGAAGGAACTTCCATAAACCCGAGGGAGCTGCAGGCACCGGTTCATTAGAGGGAATGCCATACCCTTGATGGGGTGGAGTTGAAAGAATACTGATTTCTTCTGGTCAGCTTGTTCTAAGTCCGATACTTAGCTATCAATGAGCTATTACATACGCTTCAGTGGCTTCTTTACCATCTGTTTGCTGGCCTTCCGTTAGGCTGCATCCTTTCTTGTTGCTTTTACTCCCGTCTCTCATCCGCCAACTTTCTGCCACGGTTTCATCCTGTGACGCGGGCATGACAGAGCGGGTGACCAAATTGACGTGTTCGTTGGGCGCAGACATCTTTCGACAATGACGAATAAAATGATCACGGAGGATATTTATTGTATCACTTTTCGCCAAGTTGTTTTGAACTGGTATGAACGTACAAATAGTAAATGACAACGAGAATACGAGTTCAGATATGCCGATATCGTGTTGCCATGTGCCGAAGTGGATTGACTCAATTGTAAAGCCTGAGCTGGACAAAGCGAGCCTTATATACATATTCTCATCACTTCCTGGGACACACAAATGGTCACCGCACGCATCTACAATCTGGCATCGGTCATATTAAAACATAGGCCTTCTCAAACACCCTCCCTTCCCCCTGCCGAACGCATGCAAGTTCCGCGATGAATTGAGCTGTGTAGATGGTGGCGTGCATACTCGATGTCAAAGTGACTCGTCAATAAGCTGGGATGCGGAGCCAATAGAAAATGAGATTATAAAGTTAGTAGACCTCTAACTTTGTGAAGTACTAAGTGTGATGTTGGTTGGCTAATATGTCCCAGATTTTTCCAGGTTTAGTGCACGTGATCAATAAGTTTACGTCATATGTCGGTCTAATCCCAGGCCAGGCACCACCACGTTTGGTGAAAATTGCGTTTTGTCTCGCCTCAAAATAAAATACATAAAAAAAAGACCGGCCATGAATACCCATATGGCCGACGCGTTTTGCCTTTTTTCTTCGGGTATCTTGTTTTTTGCAGCCTAAGGCTGTCGGAACCCAAATGCGCGATGTATTGCACGTTGCTAATATGCTACCCAACCTGGATGTCCGTACCCCACTCGCATTTCAAATAGCGCAACCAAGATCCTCGTGACGAAGAGTTCAACTGTCTTTGCAGCAATCACTGGAAAAATACGCATCAAAATCGTCCTTGCCATTAAAAAACTATGGCAGTTAAGTCAAGGCACTCTATATTATCTCTAACTCCGCTAACCATCGCAGAGAGGAGATGATGCCCTCGCCGGGCGCGATGAATTAAACATTGCGAGCCATCGATTCCCTCCAGATCCCGACAACGACAGGAAAATCAAGTTCCAAGGGCTATATATTTCTGTCTTCAATGAAGAAACTCAGGATCGGAAATTTCTCCAAGAAGACGTCAAAACATACACGGACTTTGACGTTCCCAAAGGCTATACAACTTATGTGAGAGGAGTCGAGAAAGTCCGTTGGATTGTTTAGGAGGACATGGCATGCTTTACTCCGTAGGTGTCATTTAACCTATACCCATCATTGTGGCCAACCCATATGGTGAATGACACGTCTTGTGTTTCATCTTTTGGAAACAATGTCGCAAAACAAGCTGTGGTTCCGTATCCCTGAAATCTTTCCCATTTCCATTGTGCGCTATTTTGTACTGCTCCTCGAAACGGTTGAGGGAGTAGTGCCACAGAAGTTGCAGGCGCATTTGTGAACATATGCTTCATCTCTATGCGGCGGTATCAGATTCCATTGCCATAAGACAGTTTATCTTAATCTTACCTCGATGGAGGTCATTCGGTTTTCGGAACATGTGCCCGCTGGCTCTGGTTGCCACTGTGGTTGGTAGGTTATGGCTGCTAGTGTCTTCGTCACGAGGCCGAGTAAGCTCTAAAAAAGTCAGTAGAAGCGTTCCATTCTGAACGAGCTACATACCGTGAAGAAGCTGATCAAGTCCAAGGCAACCATGTGCCTCTCCGCCCTTTAGTCTCAGGAGGGTGTTGCGTATTACTTCTGGCCAATTCTTCCTGTCCCTTGGTTCAATGTCATCTATTAAACAGTCGAAGATGTCGTTTGGCATAAAGCATGGACCCCAAGTGCTTGGAGGGTGACTCATTGCCCAAGAGATCACTCCGTCCACACTCAGTTGTTGTATCCTTTCACATCGTTTTTGAATGACTTCCTTCCTCCATTTTGTATCCTTGGAGTCAAATTCCGATCCAGGCGGGCCCTGGAAAATCAACTTTATATTTCTTCGAAAAACTGCGGGGTTTCGTAATTTACCGCTGCTGAGAAATTCTGAAACAGTGGTTTCTGCTCTGACCCTGTGCTCCTCACTTGCTTTCCAGATTTGCTCCGTCCATACTTGCCTCTTTGCTCCGGCTTTGGCTTCGATTGAAACAACAGCATCTCTAAGACTTGCAGACAGTATCTCTAGCGTTTGCAACTCAGCCTGTGACAAAGTGACATCGCTGAGAGCTGATGCTAGCAGGTCTAAATTTTGAGTTACCGCGTTCAGCTGATCAATGACGGATGCCATGTTGGAGCAAACAAGCAGGCAAAGTTGTCTTAGATGCCATCTAAGTTTATAGATGTCTCTATATATACAAGACCAGCCACCAAGCCCCCGCTTTTTCAGAGGGGGCTCCCCGCGACTCGAGGCCTCCAGCCAACCCCAATATTGTCAATTGATTCGCCAGATGCCGTCCCTGATTCAACAAAAGGCCTGTTTTCATGCAGCGTCAACCTAATGCAGAACTTGTAAATGTAGACGACTTCCCAAATCAGGAGGCTGCATATGCAACATGTTGCTACATCATCGCCGACCGGATAAGCCCATGTTGGCCGTCACAGCGATTGCCAACGACCATAAATACTACGGGCAAACTGACTAGTTTCAGGTGGCTGGGGTTATTGCAGGTGATTTTTCACAAAACACCCTTTACCTGCCTAAAAGGGGTAGTGACGGGAGACGAGATCGGTCAGAACAGACAACGATCGATACACTGATTAATTGTAAACGCGCCGATCATTCCTTATTGTGATCCTCTTATACTAGTTTCCACACCATACTTCTGCATACCCTGATGTTCTGCCGAACTGACGTATTATGTTCCCATTGTTGCGTGGCCTGGGAAACCTGGGACTTGCCAGAGTACTGATGCGGAACAACTAGGGAAGTTGCTGTCAACCGAGCATGTCAAGGGAAGTCAGGGCACACGATAGGATAGATTCCTGCCATGTAGACGACCAAGTTTTTATTGCTGCCGAGGATGCGACACCGAGAGACTTTGTTCAAAGCGTCGTCACAACTCAAGCGGGGGCCACAGTGGGGTCCGTTATAGCATCGCGGAGAACATTCTTCATCCGCAAATACAACCGAGCGTCCTCCATCTCCCATCTCCTGCCATTGGGAAACACAACCTTGCGTAGCTTGTTAACCCAGGGTATCAACGGCGTGTAAAGTGTTGTGAAGTATTCGCTTGTAGTCTTGATGAAGTCTTGTTCATGGGACACCTGACCCTTCTTCAACTCTGCCAGCTCTGCCATCTCCACGTAATTCCATTTTTCAAATCGCTGCACAGTCCGGCTGTCGTCTGGTCCGTTGTAATGTATGCATATCCAAAAGAGTACCCAGAAAAAAGACTCAAGATCGTGCATGAAAGAATGCTGTTCCCCCAGTAATGCACCGATGGCCATGAACGCCCTAGTGCCAGTCTTTCCCATTGCTCCCGAAGCCTCGTCTCGATGCTCTCGAATAGCAAGGTCAAGGTCGATCAAGAAAGCTCGCCAGGAAGGGTTCGCCTTGTCCTCATTCACCCTGAGATTGTTGACAGAGATGTCTCTGTGGAGGAAGCCAGCCTTGCGCAAGGATTCGTGGCCTTCAATGCAGCCCTCGAGCGCATCAAGCAGGGCTGCCCGGGAGCTTGCCTTGTAGATCGGCTCCCCATAGTCTCGAAGAATGACACGTCGATGTATCCGATTTGACAGTACGTCCAGGCTAGGTTTTGTTGGGGACGCTGAATAGGATCGCTTGCTCGGAGGCAGAGCAGCGTCCGTTTCGCTTGATGGTCGTTTCACCCCGGAACTACTACTACGCCCTTTGCGTGATATTCTGGACACAGTTCCGCCCACGTTCGACGGCAATGTTCGTTTTGGCTGGAAATTCGTAGCTTTGGTGACGTCCAGCCCTTTTCGGACATTGTTCCGAACATCATCATCTGTACGACGGATACGAACAGTCTCATGGTGGTAATATCGAGCAACGTTAGTCACATCTTTCTCAGTTGCTTCCTGGAGCAATTCGCCCTCTTCGTCCCGGTCGACGTACTGCCACGAGTCCTTAATGACAAGTGGATTATGTGGATCATTGTTGCGATGAGCTTTCCAACAAGTTGTCGCTCGGCCTGCGATGCATGGTGCGCGCTTTATGACCTCGTCGATGACGAGACATTCTGTCTGGCCGTTTCGTTCGATCTCGATATATTTCTGGCCGCTGGTTGTTACTATGGTAGGATCAAACCCAAGCATCTCCTCGTTCATTCGCAGAAACCCCAGAATTGTGGCCACAAACTGTAGCCCACCTTCCTCCTTGTTGATGTCAAATTGTTCGGATGCGATCCCCCCAAGCCTGTCGAACTCCCATATCCTCATAAGAGACCCACAGAGAGTAAATCCCAAGACGAAGCGACGTGTATCTTGAGCAGCGAGCACCTCTCTTGCGTACCTTGCAAGGTCAATCCATGCAACCGATGCTATGTCGGCCTTTGGGTTATTTTTTAGTTCGCCGACAACGAGGATGTGTGCCCAGCGATATCTTGAATCCGTAGTGTCAGGTTTATATATAATGTCGCTATCCACAAAGCCGATATCCATGCTGCGCTTGCCTGTGGAGCCTTCCAACGGTGTCTTCGGCTGGGCCAACAGCTTTCGTCTCGCCACCGAAGTCGGAATGCGGTTGTCTGCAAATGCTTCCAGCTGCGAGATCAAGCCGCCAATCCAAGTCAGCACGTCGCTCTCTTTAGCGCCCGCAGGCCATCCACTCCAACCCTCCTTGAAAAGTGGACTGTCGCCTTCAATACACTTGCGGAAGACCGCCTCAGAAACCATGTCAAGTTCTGGGATATCCCCAAAGAAAGACTTATGGAAATTCGGAAGTCCCACGTATAGATGTTCGAGTTCCAGTTTAAGGACAGGATCCACATTCTGGCGGTATTCTGACGAGTTCACGAAACTGCTCGTGTTTTGGCTCCACGGGGTTTGTTGGAGGGAAGATGCTATCGATCGGGGAGGAGGAGTGGATTCGGCGGCTGCGGTAGATACAAAGTCCCAAATCTGTACATCCTTAGTATCGTCAGAGATTGCTATCTCGAGAAGTGGCTTGATACGATCAAAGTCGAAGCTATCCGAAGCGGCAGCAGTAATAAGTCTGAGAAGAACTGAGCGGAGGGTGGCACTCCCAGATGTCGAGTGAAGCGAACCTGAGATTGGGAGGTTTCGCAAAGATGTAAAAAGGGTGAGTGCAAGGTTGCGGAGATCTGTCTGTATTGTCAGAATCACATGGACATTGGTGAGCTACCAAATTACCTTCAGCACCAAGCTGACGAAGCGTGTCTATTGTAGACGGAAGGTTTCTGCTCGTGCAAATCGAGGTAAACAGGGCGCGAAAGGCATCGAGTCCATTTCGTATTGGGTTTTCATTAATGAGCTCCAATCTCGACTGATCTGACATGATGAGGTAGCACGCCGCGTAGTGCCACAGTGTACGTGATCGGGGTGCAAAGCGTGTTGTCACGGCTACCTAATATTGGGGTCGAGTCAGCTAAGTTGCAACACGGAACAACCAAAATACCGAGAGCGCATCACAGTGACTCCTGTCATGTGGCTGGTTTGCGGCTGGCTCTGGGCACAGCTTGATGTTAATTAGGCATCAGCTGCAGAGGCAAAGGTACAGACAGGAGGGAAAGAAAATGTGTAAAGTCATTTCAAGAGCCTCTGGAAAAGTTCACCCGAAATCCGACCTACAATCTGTCCTTGAAGGGGGCCTCATCGCCTTGCCTATCATAAGGAAAGGTGAGGTAGCTCGGCGCTTGTGGGTGTGGACCTTTGACCGCGTTCTGGTCATTCATTGGACAACTCAGAACCGTTGGTGATAACTCCAGCGCCTGCATAAAACGTTTGGGGGGCCATATCATCGAGTCTACCTCGGGCTGATACATCAGTTCTCCGTTGCATAGATTCTGGCAGGTTGGTGGGCGGTTGGATGAAGTGCAAAGACCCTCAAACTGGAAGCGACCTTCTTCTTGGGCGGCGTCTGCGGACACCATATCCCTATTGATTAGGCTGTAACGGATTAAACGTGAATAATCAGGTATTCGCTTGCACGAGATCTAAATACTTCTCCTTACGTTGACTCTGTTGGGGGTGAAGGGAGATGGCGAAGAGAGGTGATTTTGCGGTTGACACTATGGCGGAGGGTTCAGTCGAGGGTGGAGCACGGGTGGAGCACTCCCCTTAACCTCCACCCCAACTTTTGAGGTCTGGGCGGCAAGAGGTTGCTTATGATGGCTGCCTGTCCCGACTGGCAGGGATGAGAACCTAGCTGGGGTGAGGCACGACTGAGAATTAACAGTGAACTTCGGCTCCGAGACTTCAAGCGCGATGTAGTAGAAAGCGCGGTACAGAAGTTGGTCGATCAAGCATACACAGATCCATTGCTGCGAAATAGTCTCGGTCTCCAGGGGACAGCTGTGTCACAAAATATGTCGAAATTTTGGAATTTTGGAGCTGGGGTGACTTGTAACTAGTAATTATCAGTTACAGAAGAGCAACAAGCATTCGCGGGTTACCAGTACTTTGGCGGCGGAGGTACCTGGCCCCGCGGGAATTAACTGGAAGGGTTACCACACTTCGAGGGTGCCCACAGCGGTTACTAGCATCCTTCCGTTGTGCATTGGTGAGCTACAGTGGGTGTACCAGTCACGGCGCTAGGCAGGCTACCAGCACTGGCAGCTACCGGCGACGACCACATCTTAATTGCCGGTAGCGCTTAGGTGCTGGTAACAAGGACGTAGTGATTACTAGTACCTCTCCACTCCCAGCAGTAGCAGTTCAGCGATTACCAGGACACTAGGATACCAGCAGTCAAAGTTGGTTGGTTACTGGCACCTGTTAAGTGGAAGATTGCAGCTGCCGCGGTGGCTACGTGATTGGGGTGAACGCCCGAAGCACAATGGAGTAGCCGCTACCGGTATTTCAAGCCCACGGCACTGCCGTACGTCTCTCAAAACCACCCAATGCTCTCTCTCATATACAAAGGCGTGGGTCTCCGGTTCCTCCTGCCAGCAGCTACCGGCTGCATGGTGGAGTAAGTTGAAAAGCCCGAGTCGATGTCGAGCTTATCATGACTAGATCTCGAAGGGAGCTCGCCAGAGTCGCTGAACGAATTCCATTCAGCGGCATCGATGCCGTCGCAGCTGCTCACGCTGCTGGGTGACGATGTAATCGTAATCGCGGAATCCTAGGAGGAGCCAGGTGACAAAGACGAGTGAGTTTGGGCCTTGAGCATTGGGCTTGTCTGCGTCAGTATGATTCCGTCCGTACCGAGCAGTGTTAACCCTTGGCAGTGATGGTCAGATAGACATCGAGAACGCCTTTGCTAATAGCGGCTCGCGAAAACAAGGGCATGATTTATCAGACTTTAGAGGGCTCGGAATCCTCGATCGCTTTCTGACACTTCTGGATTTTTTTTTTTGGCTATGGCTCTTGGTATCATTTTGGGAAATTTGTCCTGAACACTGGGCGACGTGTCAGTACCGGTAGGTGTAACTCACCCATCCCGACAAATTTCAGATTTCAATGACCATGCCCACTAACTCTTGTCTTAAAAGCCGCTGGATTGCTAGTGATCACGTATCCTATCCTGTGTAAGGCACGATATGAATCATTTCACGAGTCGCTTTCGCTCAGAGCAGTGTGGAAACAGATTTGCTTTAGCATATTTGTGAACTGGATCGCATTACTTCTCATGGTTAGTATTGCGCCCATGGGTAGCACGACCTTTGTGTCTTATTGTTGTTGTCTAACTTCTGTTAGAAAACTAGCTTGCCCTCGCATGGGCTTTCCTCCCTGACAATCCCATCCCTTGTTTTATCACTCTGTTGCAGCATAGAAGGATTGTATTTGCTATAAAGAATCCGAATACGCACAAAACGCGTTTCCGCCACGCTCACTATGTCACCCAACATCCAGCTGGTCCTCCGATGCCCGCAGCACTCACCTAATCGAACATGGTGCGCCTTCGAGGCCAACCACATGGCGGATCACAGTCTAGGGTAGACCTGGAGTTTCCGGACACAATGCATTGTTGTGCATGTCTCTTCGACTTTGCCAAAAGGCCGCTTCCTCCATTCCCGGGATTACGCCGGCCATACTTGCAGAAGTCTATGTCGCAGGCTGGAAGGCGTGGTTACGCACGAAGGACATGGTTGCATTGCAAGCCGAACGCACATCGCCGTCAAGGCAATATTGGTTTGGACTGCTGCGCTTCCCAACCAAGCCACATTGTCGTGAGGAGAATTTGCTGTGCCGATTCTGACCAGCCTTGTAGTCGGGCCGCGTGCATAGTGAAGGTGGCGTGCGGCAATTCAAGCGACTGCGGGCAAAGCTCGCACTGGTAGAGTCAAGGATCAGATTGAGATATACCTGACTTGTCATCCCGACATGAGACATGCCAACCGGCTCTGTGACGAATGCCCTTCAGCTGAGAAAGTACAGGGGGAGTGCAGTAGGCGTGGCGGCATGTACAGGCTCACATCTTGAGCCAGGTCCTGGCGCTAATCAGTGCTCCGGAGGAACGTCTCCCTCTCGACACTGGCCGTGACATTGGGTGTCGTGGAGTTCAAGTACCCAGATTCTTTGTGGTACAATGCGCGTCAGAGCGACTGGAGCCGGTCACGATCGTGTCATGGACGCGTTGCGGCTTTGATTGTCCTTCGGGCTCAAGGAGCTGGATGGCAAGTGCGGAGTCCATCGTCAGAAACGTCAGCTTGAAAAGCGTCTGCAGGTGGGAGTGGCAGCTGCTTATCAGGCATACGGCTCGAGGGTGCTGCATGCGAGTGCCCACAGCATCACAACCCCCAACGTGCGTGTGTGTAACTGGCGAGATCCTGTTGTTGCGGCCTGGCCCCGACCTGGTCCTCCTCAGCTTGCTTTCGTCCTTCTATGGTGACTGACAAGGCTGCGCTCTTCGACTGACTGCGATAAACAATATGCCATCGTCACGTCTCCTTCCTCTCCCTGGGTGACTCAACCCCAGCTTCCTCGTCGACATAGGCGAACTGCACAGCCCTATCAGTCCACCCGCCCATCTGACGGCCTCGTGCACTTCACTCCGCACCATGGCATGCAACAACGCTCTCGACAACCCCGACTCCTATGCAGTCGCCTGGATTACTGCTCTTCCCGTTGAGCGGGCCGCTGCAGAAGCGATGCTCGATGAGGAACATGCAACTCCCGCTGGTTTCACTAGACACCAAACTGACGAGAACGTCTATACGTGGGGTCGCGTGGGAGAGCACAACATCGTCATTGCCTCACTTGCCGCTGGAGTCTACGGAACTACCTCGGCTGCGACCACGGCCTCGAGCCTGCTTGCCTCTCTGCCATCCATCCGTCTTGGCCTTTTTGTCGGCATAGCCGGCGGCATCGCCCGACCGGATGAGAGCCACGATATCCGGCTTGGCGACATCGTCGTGAGCCAGCCCGATGGGACCACGGGCGGCGTCTGCCAGTACGACTTGATCAAAGCAAAGTCGGGTGACAAGCGTGAGCGCAAGGGCTTCCTCGGGCGGCCTCCGACGGTCCTCCTCAATGCGCTTACCAAAATCCAGGCCGTTCACGAGCGGGAAACCCCCAAAATTCCCTGCTTCCTTCAAGAGATGCTGAAGAAGAACCCGAAGATGGGCAAGAGATCCAAGAAAAATCCCGGCTATGCTCACCAGGGCGCCGACAACGACCACCTCTTCAAAGCTTCATGCGATCACGTCCCCGGGCCGGACTGTCGGGGCTGTGACACGGCTGGCGAATTTCAACGCGATCCTCGAGACACTACCGACCCGGAGATCCATTACGGGACCATCGCATCCGGCAACACACTTGTCAAAGACGCCGCTGCGCGCGATCGGATTGTTGCTGACGTCGGCGAGGATTGCATCTGCTTTGAGATGGAAGCGGCCGGCCTGATGAACCACTTTCCCTGTCTTGTAATCCGAGGGATCTGCGACTACGCCGATTCTCACAAGAACGATCGATGGCAACGCTACGCCTCGGCCACCGCCGCTGCGTATGCCAAGGAGCTCCTGGCGTACGTGCCGGCCGCGGAGGTCCAGGAGACCAAGAGGGCACTGGAAGTGCTTCAGTTAGGTTAGTTCGTGTTTCATCCACTAGGGCTAGACTAGCAAATAATAGACCGAATACTATTTGAATTTGGAATACGTCCTGACTGCGAGTAGTTCAGCAACAGATCGATGGCGTGCAGCAGACGACAATTGCAACGAAAGCTGCAACTGATTCCATCAGGTCTGACCTTCGTACCGATAAGATCGAGCGCTGGCTTCGGCCCCCAGATCCGTCTACAAACGCCAACCACGCGAGGAAGCTCCGCCATGAGGGGACAGGAGCGTGGCTCCTGGAAAACCCGATCTTCCAGCAGTGGCACTCGGGAGCGCGTCG